AAAGTGGCGTTCAGACAGTTTTTCAGCTTGTGAGTGGCATCCAACAGTTAAATGAAATGAAAATCTTTGTATCCATTGTGAAATAGCTGCAGCATGAAACAGCTGTCAAATTAGGTCAGTTTTTTCCTACCAAAAAAAAAAAATCACAAAAAAGCAAGCCACAAACCCACAGCAAGACTGGAAATATCATTTAAAGCTAAAAATGTCTTGCCTTAGTCTAATTGATGCCATTGAAGAAATTATAAGCAAAAATTCCAGTTTAAATTGTATTTTAAGCTCCATCACATGCCAATGAGTCAAGCCTAATGCATTCGTTCTATTTCTCCTTCAGAAAATCTCCTCTTTGCATACTTATTGATATCATTTAGTGGCAATCCTATCTGTGCCTCAAATAAAATATTATAGCAGGCTTAGGGCCTTTTTTTTTTATACAAAACTGTATACCAGATGTCTCTTCTGGGCTTCAAAGGTACTGTGTATTGTGTTGTTTTAGGCCTCTGTCTGGATGGGCAGACAGCTTCTTCTAACTGTACAGAAATCTGTGATTGTATTTTTAATGTATTAAGCATTAACAGGCTACATTGAGTATTTATCTTTCTTGAATATCGTTCACAAAATGAGACGCTTTGCCTGCTCGTTCACAGAATTACCTCATTCTCCCCCTCTGTGGGTAGGTACTCTGAGGCCTAACTTACCCACAATGAAGCCTGCTTTCTTTATGAATGTCAACAGAAAATAAAAAATAGCAAAGTACGAACCCACGTGTTTTTGAATTTTATAAATACCTGTCTTCCAGAACTCCTCACAGGAAGACTGTCTGGAGACTGATCTGAAGAACATGCCTTTTTTTTCGTTCGTACCCTTCCAGTTGACATTGTATTGTTAGATCTGAAAAAAAGTAGGCAGTAGTTAATAAAAAAGATTAAATTGCTTGCTTTTGAAGAGTTGTCTAATCACCTGGGCAGTACATTCACTTATAACACCAGTTTTGACAGAGTTACCTAGGTAAGAATCTGTTCAGCTTGACTATTAATTCAGGAGGAAAATGAGAATGAGGCATTACGGGAAAGGAACAATACTACTATTTTAAACTAAATTCGGAGTTAAGATTAGATCCCTGAGTACATCTTGACAGGCTGTTCCAGATCAGCATATCCTGGATTTCAATAATCTGATTTGCATTACGTGAAGACCTGGACTGGAATTTGGGTTGGCAAAGTGAACAGACATCACTTCAATGCTGGTGCAAGCATTCAAATACCACTCAGAGCAACACTCGTCCTGCTAACTACTGGTTTATTGGTAGCAAGAGATTTGCACTCTAAAGCGCTTTTCCAAACAGTGTACTGGAGAGATGTTCAATATCAGGTAAACAACCAGTTCCAAGACTTGCACATGAAGTGCAAGTACCTCCTATGAAAGTATATCAGAATTTAAAGTCTAAACTGCAGTTGCATTGAAGCTTTAGGTGACTGGAATGTGTACTATAGGAGAAAATAAAAGATTTACGGCACGAGAGAGCTCTGTGGCTGTCTTTGACTGCATTGGTAGGAATGCAGAAAAGACCACAGTTTATCATATAAACTGGAAAACATAGAGTGTGAGAAACTATGCAGCAGAAATATGAAAGTATATTTAAAATGGTATTATCAAAGGCATTCTTTGACATGGAGTAAAGCACAAATAAAGAGACCCTCGTGGAAGAATTAAATCTACGAGTGCTCTACCACATACAGAAAGGAAGTGGAAATAAATCCCTTGTACAACAGCACTGAATCTTGAATGTTATCTTGTTATAACAGGGATCTGTTTGTAATTATGTTTTTTTTTTATATACTTTTATATATGTATATATATGGTACTTCTCAATTCTCCCTATTTCAGGCTGCATTTTCCTTATTCAAGCTGTTAGTGATGGACACGGCAGTGGTATCTTCGTTCAGAAATTCTGCTCAAAGTAAAGGTAACAGGAGAAGAAAATGGGAATTTTCAAAAAATTTCAAATTAAGCTGATGCAAATCAAGTAAACTGGTGCTTCATTTGCTTCTTGAGACAGAAGAAATTATTTGGGGAAAGAAGAGAAATCATATGATATCCACATAAAGTGGATATATTTTACATCAGTAAAAAATTAGTTCAGACAACCCAATATAAACT